TATCACCACACAATTGTATTTAGGTAGAAGCTTATAAACTGATTTCCCATACAGGTCCTATTACTGGCACATATAACCTTTGGTGATGGGACAGATGGATAAAATAGATGGATGGATAAAATAGATGGATCTATCAGCATAAAAGAAAATATTGAAATAAACAGACAAAGGTGTGCAAAACTGATGTACATAGGACCATAGGACCATGAATGACATATTAGCTTCAATATATTTATTAACTTTGGTGAACAATGAGACTTGACTGTTTTCATTTTACTTTTAAAAATTATAAGAAAATACAATAATATTCTTCACTTTTTTTTCAGATTATATTAACATTCTAATTTTTTTAAAATTTGTACACAAATTTAAAAAATCAAATAAAAAGCTGTAAATGTAATTTAAGAAAATTACATTATTAATTTGTATTGAGATTATTCTTTTGTTTTTCTTCATGTAGTACTAGTTTTTTTTTTATCCTGTAAACCCACTTTTATATTAAAAGAGCAAGAGAAACTGAGAAACCACAAAAAATGAAAAATGTGTGACATCCATTATCACTGCTGCTGCTACTACCGCCAGATATTTCACGCCGGTCCAAATGGCTTACGTTCAGATGAAGTCCATTGCAGCTTCAGTGGTGGAAAAGTTTGAGATTGAGGCAGTGGATAGAGACACGTGTCCAACGCATTTGCCTTCTTTGACGTTGAAGATGAAGGGAGGGTTCTCAGTGAGGTAAGACTAAGGGGCAAACATGACATTTGACATCATTTGCTTTACATGTGTCCTTTTTCTCAGAGAGTGATACTAAAATCACATATTCCGCGAATTCGCTCAATTCCATTCGTGCCAAGTCCGTGTAAGCGAACACAACGTCAAATATTATCATGTGTATCTGTTAGACCATGGACGGCAACTGTTAGACCGAGAGTAATAAGGGGCACATTTTCGTTCGACTATCCATAGTGTAAGATAGACGTCATAATATTTCTTCCTTTAGATTTCTTTGTTGGATTAAATATGTTTTCATTTTTTTAAATTTGTTAAATTATTGTTAATGAAAAGTAGGAAAATAATAGGTAGCTTCCTTTTTCTCAATTTGGTCCGTTTATACACTTAATTTGATGTCAAAGAAACATTTTCGTAATTTAATACTTGTGTTCCTCTTGACTGAGGGCCTACCCAAAACAAAGTGAGAGTAAGCTCCCTAAAATGCTTATATATATATAATCTACTTCTCAGAAAAAGGCCACAGCTTCCTTCTAAAGAATATAACCTCCCTAAACTGTGATGGATTTCTTCAGCATGAAAAGTATGAAGGCAGCTTACCTTGGTCTCATAACATTTCTGTTAGGATGTATTGGAATAAAGTATGGAATCTCCAATACCAATCCTTTCCATGATTCAACTCTTTCTCTTCTCGTCAGTGCTGTGTGTTCCCATCTTATTGCATCCGCAGCTGACATGGGCAATCCAAACACCATCATTATATTTTATTTGTCAGGGATAGTTGCATGTGAAACACTACTGTGGATTCTCATTGCTCAGCTTTCTTGGTTCTCTTTGGTTAACTTCCTTGTTTTACTAATAGTCAAATTCTTGTTCTCTCACTTCCTCACTCAGCTGCTCCTTCCCTATTTCAACTGCATCACTCAGTTGCTCTCCGGAACACCTCCAAATGCTTCTGACATGCCAAATTCAGAACAGCAACGGCAGGACTCCCAGGTGTAGCATCTCAGATATGGCCCGGTTCATCAAAATGTAGTTTTTTAGCTGTGTTTCTGCTATATGCTTATGCTCATATTATGTAGTCTTAATTTTCTCTATTTGTCCTGATCATTACGGGGTACATTAATCCCCAAATCATGAGTTATTATCTGCAAAATAGACCAGGCTATTTTACTTTTACTTTGATTTTCTGTACAAGTTGGAGTAATTAACACTATACTGTTCATAGACCAACTGGGATAGGTAATTCACAATTGGATTGATCAATTTAACTTTTCTTGCTAAGATTGCAGAAGATTCAATTCAGAAAAGCTCCATTGCAAACATGTTTTAAGGAGGATATATTGGGTAAAATTTTCTGAATAGGGCAATACTTACTGATGAATCCCAATAGCAGAAAAAAAAGGCTTCCCATAAGAGTGCTGTTGACGATGTTGATGGACTTAAGACTAGTTGTTGGATCTTGCTGCACAGAAAACCAAAATAACTTAACTGAACTGAAAACAACTAATGAAAGACCAAGTTATAGTGGTTTTGTCTGCTGTCAGTAACATACACCACTTTCTGCAATAAACCAAGCGCAAACCTCAGTCCTAAACTTCAGGCTCACACCTGGTTTTTTGTTTTAAAATTAAGTGTATATCGCTGTTTGAGATTTACACATGAACATCTAAGTCTAGTCCTAAGCGATGCAAATGTATTTCTATCTATAGCCTCGATTATAAGGTATGAACTGGTTTCCAGATCTGCAATGAACTAAACTAACTTATTTTTCTCCTTGGGTTCCATCAATATGACGATTATATTTTTAAGGGATTTAAGAGATAACACTGTTTTATTTATTTTTATCCCCACTCTGAAATAGCTTCATTGCAATTTTGTCCCAATGTATTTAGGTTTTTCCTAGAAAGTTTGTAAAGGTGTCGTTGGTCCTGAGATATTTTATGGTTCAGTAGGGGATTTAGTTAAGTTGTTGGCCATAGTGCATGAATTCTATTGTCAATAGATTTATCATCATCCCATTCATTTCTATTGTCACAATTTAGTTGGCTTTTTCTTTTTCAAATATCTTGATTTGCTACCAAGACAACTTCTATTCCAACAGAGACTAGAATTGAGACTCCCTGCTTGTTTTTGTCATTCATATTTTCTATCAACAGTTTGTTTTTCAATGAACGTGATGCAGTATGACTTCTCATGAGAAATGTAGGAAGTATAGTTTTTCTAGTCTTTGACTCATACTTAACAAGTCTGTATAATTTCAGGTATTGAGGCACAACAACTACTAGTTTTACACCTGTTGGATTGTCAAATACGATTTGTCCCTTTGTTTTGGCCTCAACTGTTTTACATCACCCTATCATCATCAGTAGGTCTTGTCTGGTTTCATGGAATTGTTTGAATGACAAAGAAGGAATGATACCATTGCCACCTCTGCTTATCAGTCATGCATCCATGTTGCTCTCTGCAGCTTAACAGTCGGTAACAGAGTTTCTCTCTTCCATGCTCTTGAAATTCTTCAAATTGAACTCGCCATCCATGTTGATTTTCTTTCTCTTTTGCAGCTTTTCTTCGTCCTTGGAGATTGCAACGAATCGCATGACATCTATTCTTTCAATGACACGGAGGACTATTGCCATTTCTCCCAATATCCTTTCACTGCATTTTTCTTTTCTTCTTTATTTGTTTCCTCCATGTTTTTTCCTTTGTACTTTAATGCTTGTTTGCTTCTCTGGCAACTTAAAATGGATTACATTAGTAGTTAACTTTGCAACTCCATTTAGATAACTCTGTTGTGTTAGCTGAATAAGGAATTTTTGAAAGAGAATTTCAGTATTATACAATTTCATTTTATATAACTCGGTTGTGTTAGCTGAACACATCCTTTCTTACATCTTGTTTCTCTTTTCTTCTATTCCTAACTGCACTCGCACCTTACCGAATGGAACACTCCTTCTGTTGACTAAGTAATCCATGTTTTACTTCTCTACTCCTATGTTTGTGGGCTGCAGATTATCTCTGTTGAAGTCAACTGAGAGAAATCCTCTGCCTGAGAGGATTCTTGTGCTTCATATTACCCTTCTTTTTAACTAATCGCCAACCACTCTCAATCTTCTTTTTCTGGATCACCACTACTTTTTCCATTGAAGTATACATCTCACATTTCAGCAGAAGATGCAGAACCTAATGCATGGCATGGGTTGGAATGCTGTTGCTACATAGGAACGTAAGAAAAGCCGGTCGGGGTTTTGTGGAAATGTATGACAACCATAATTGTTTTCTTAAATTCTGTTGCTGTTTTTTCAACATAGCATTTGTGCCTTTAATTTTCAATAAGCAGTTAAGCATATTTTCATAGGAGTTAATCGTATTTAAGCAATAATGCTTGAATAGTGTCTGTTTTGTCAGATCAAGAACTGAGATTTCAACTGTTCCTAAAGGTCTACCATTTAGATCAAATTAATTTCCATATATAGTTAGCATCATTAAGTTCTTTTGTGTATGCAGGTGTTTGAGTATTTGATCATAAGGGTTTTTCTTCTTCAGACTTCATGTCTTAAATCAAGATGCTTCTGGACTACTATTTGAGGCCTATGGGAATGGAAACTAAATTTTACAATTTTCAGTAACTCCAAATACAGTTTAAATTTTTTATTTATCAAATATTTATTTAGATAAGGAAGACGATTCAACTTTATTAAATTTTAATTTTCTTGTTTAGAATTTCTATTTCAATCATGGAGAAAAAATAATTACTACAAAATTTTAATAAAAGAAGTCTAATTGATATCACCAATATTAGTCAAGAAAACTGTGAAAAGTGTTCAACGATAGTCCAAATTTATATTGACTAATCAATAACTATAATAATGTCACTGAAAAACCAACCTTTGTTAACGTTGAATAAAAAAAGTTGACTTACCTTGTTTAAAAAATAATTTCAGATAAAAAAAATACTCTAACGGTTGAGAAAATAACTCTGTCAATAAAAACTAAATAACTTTTGTCTTGATTTTCTGTAGAAGTTGGATTAATTCTAATAACACAGTCATGTGAGTCCGGACTCTCCATGGACCAAGAGGGATAGATTGATCCACTACAAATGTTTTAAGCAGGGAATGTTGGGTAAAACACACAAGAAATAGGATGATATTTACAAAAGAATCCCTGTAGTCTAGAGGAAAGCTTCCAATAAGAGTGCTCTTGATGATGTGAATGGGTTTACAACTGTGAGCATAGGCTTGTTATGTAGTTAATGTACTAGTCGTTGTTTGTTAGTCTTATGGATAGTTAATTTTGTTAAAATTATGTTTTTGTAACTGTTTTAATTTATTTTAATTTATTTTAGTTTATTAGATAGCACTTTGCTACACTTTAGGAGCAAAGTCAGTTTTGTATCTACTTTTTGCTAAAATTTTGGTTACGTGGGTGCTTTCTATTTTATTTAAAATATTATAAATGTATTGCACAGAGATGCACACAAATTGAACAAGTTAAGTTCCTTTTTTCCTTCATTCTGAAAAGTATCCACGGTCTCTTTCTTTGCTCCTCTTTACGTTATTTTTCTTCTATACGCCCAACAAATTGGTATCAGAGCAATCATCTTACGGACCTGTGAAAATGAGTTCTGAAACAAATTTCTCCTAAGTAGCACCTCCTGTTTTTGACGGGGAAAACTATGATCTCTGGGCTGTAAAAATGGAAGCTTACCAGGAGGCTTTGGATCTTTGGGAAGCTGTTGAAGAGGATTTCGAAGTACTTCCGTTGTCAGACAATCCTACCTTGGCCTTGATCAAAACTCATAAGGAGAAAAAAACCAAGAAAGCAAAGGCAAAATCATGTCTCTTTGCTGGTGTTTCGACAACCATTTTCACTAGAATCATGACTTTAAATACAACAAAGAAAATCTGGGATTATCTAAAGGGAGAATATGCAGGAGATGACAGAATTCGAGGCATGCAAGTGTTGAACTTGATGAGGGAATTTGAGCTTCAAAGGATGAAAGAGTATGAGACAATTAAAGAATACTCAGACAGGTTACTTGGCATTGCTAAGAAGGTAAGATTAATTGGCACTAATTTTTTTGATTGTAGAATTATCGAAAAAATCCTTGTAACAGAAAGGTATGAGGCATCCATAACCACCCTAGAGAACACAAAGGATCTGTCCAAGATCACTTTGGCGGAAGTGTTACATGCCTTGCAGGCCCAAGGGCAACGGAGGCTTATGAGGCAGGAACATGTGGTTGAAAGTGCTTTACCCGTAAAGCATCACGTTGTTGGAACTAGTAAGAAGAAAAACTTCAAGAAGAATCAGCCAACAAGCAACAAAAACATCACAAACAAAGGCAAGCATAAAAAGAAAAATTATCCACCTAGTCAACATTGTGGAAAAATGGGACATCCACCATTTAGATGTTGGAAGAGACCAGATGCAAAGTGTAGTAAATGTAATCAACTTGGACATGAAGCTGTAATTTGTAGAAGCAAATTTCAACAGCATGAAGACAATGCCCAAGTTGTTGAGCAAGATGAAGAAGATCATATTTTTTCTACAACGTGTTTTTCAGCAAAGAGTAACTCAGAATGTTGGCTGATTGATAGTGGATGTACCAACCATATAACATATGACAAAACTCTATTCAAGGACTTGAAGCCCACTAAAGTCTCGAAGGTCAGAATAGGAAATGGTAGCTATATTTCTGCAAAAGGAAAATGAACCATACTAATTTCAACGAGCTCAGCTACAAAAACAATCTCAAATGTTCTTTATGTACCTGGCATTGATCAAAATTTGCTAAATGTAGGTCAGTTGATGGAAAAGGGATTTAAAGTGTCCTTTGAACGTCAACACTGTCTTATCTATGATATTGTTGGCCGGGAAGTTCTAAGGATTAAAATGAGAGGTAAAAGTTTCTCGTTTGATCCAATAGAGGAGGAGCAGGCAGCCTATTACACTCAATTCAGTCCCACAGAACTCTGGCATAAGAGACTTGGTCACTGTCACCTTGAAAGAATGCTAAAAATAAAGAAGAATGACATGTCAACATGTGTACCAATATTTTCTGATAATTTGCCAAATTGTAATACTTGTCAATTTGGTAAACAAAACAGAAAGACTTTTCCCAAATCAGCTTGGAGAGCCTCTCAAAAGTTGCAGCTAATTCACACTGATGTAGTAGGACCTCAAAGAACACCATCACTACAAGGTAGTCTCTATTTTGTTCTATTTATAGATGATTTTACAAGAATGTGCTGGATTTTTTTTCTTAAAATTCAAGCATAAAGTGGCTGGAGTATTTATGAAGTTCAAGAAAATGGTAGAAACTCAAAGTGGCTACAAGATTCAATTTCTAAGATCAGACAATAGGAAGGAATATACATCAAACAAATTCAATCAATTTTGTGAAGAAGTAGGGGTTGAGCATCAACTAACAACTCCTTACACTCCTCAACAAAATGGGATTAGTGAAAAGAGAAATAGATCGGTGATGGAGATGGCTAGATGCATGTTGCATGAGAAGGAGCTACCTAAAACATTTTGGGCAGAGGCGGCTAATACAACAGTTTACTTGCAAAATCGGCTTCCAACTAAAGCCTTGAAAGACAAAACTCCATTTGAGGCTTGGTATGAGTATAAGCCTTCTCTAACCTTTCTTAAAGTATTTGGTTGTGTTTTTTTTGCACATGTTCCTCAGGTTAAGCGTGATAAACTTGACAAGAAGGCAATTCCGGGCATCTTTGTGGGATATAGTACAGTTTCAAAAGCCTACAAAGTGTATCATCCTCAAACCGGAAAGATGACTATCACTAGAGATGTGCATTTCAATGAAGGTCAGCAATGGGAATGGAAGAACTCACAAAACACAACTGAATCCTTTCACAATATACAAGATAATNCATTTCAGCAGAAGATGCAGAACCTAATGCATGGCATGGGTTGGAATGCTGTTGCTACATAGGAACGTAAGAAAAGCCGGTCGGGGTTTTGTGGAAATGTATGACAACCATAATTGTTTTCTTAAATTCTGTTGCTGTTTTTTCAACATAGCATTTGTGCCTTTAATTTTCAATAAGCAGTTAAGCATATTTTCATAGGAGTTAATCGTATTTAAGCAATAATGCTTGAATAGTGTCTGTTTTGTCAGATCAAGAACTGAGATTTCAACTGTTCCTAAAGGTCTACCATTTAGATCAAATTAATTTCCATATATAGTTAGCATCATTAAGTTCTTTTGTGTATGCAGGTGTTTGAGTATTTGATCATAAGGGTTTTTCTTCTTCAGACTTCATGTCTTAAATCAAGATGCTTCTGGACTACTATTTGAGGCCTATGGGAATGGAAACTAAATTTTACAATTTTCAGTAACTCCAAATACAGTTTAAATTTTTTATTTATCAAATATTTATTTAGATAAGGAAGACGATTCAACTTTATTAAATTTTAATTTTCTTGTTTAGAATTTCTATTTCAATCATGGAGAAAAAATAATTACTACAAAATTTTAATAAAAGAAGTCTAATTGATATCACCAATATTAGTCAAGAAAACTGTGAAAAGTGTTCAACGATAGTCCAAATTTATATTGACTAATCAATAACTATAATAATGTCACTGAAAAACCAACCTTTGTTAACGTTGAATAAAAAAAGTTGACTTACCTTGTTTAAAAAATAATTTCAGATAAAAAAAATACTCTAACGGTTGAGAAAATAACTCTGTCAATAAAAACTAAATAACTTTTGTCTTGATTTTCTGTAGAAGTTGGATTAATTCTAATAACACAGTCATGTGAGTCCGGACTCTCCATGGACCAAGAGGGATAGATTGATCCACTACAAATGTTTTAAGCAGGGAATGTTGGGTAAAACACACAAGAAATAGGATGATATTTACAAAAGAATCCCTGTAGTCTAGAGGAAAGCTTCCAATAAGAGTGCTCTTGATGATGTGAATGGGTTTACAACTGTGAGCATAGGCTTGTTATGTAGTTAATGTACTAGTCGTTGTTTGTTAGTCTTATGGATAGTTAATTTTGTTAAAATTATGTTTTTGTAACTGTTTTAATTTATTTTAATTTATTTTAGTTTATTAGATAGCACTTTGCTACACTTTAGGAGCAAAGTCAGTTTTGTATCTACTTTTTGCTAAAATTTTGGTTACGTGGGTGCTTTCTATTTTATTTAAAATATTATAAATGTATTGCACAGAGATGCACACAAATTG